TATTAAAAAAATAACCATCTGTATATCATATTTCTACACCTTGTTGACCTATTATACAACCGAGATTCTATCAGATGTGAAGCTTTGGATGATAAATTACACCTTGAAGGTTAATAGGGATTGACACTATTAATTAATGATTATTTTTTTCTCCATTTTCTAGAGGGAGACTTTTCAAAGAGAACAGCAGTTTGTAGTCTTGCGGCGATGCCAGATGGTATGGATGCATCTACGTATAATTTAAACGTTATCCAGAACTTTTGCCTTAAAATTACAAATTCTAAACAGCTTCTTCTGTTTCATGACACAATTATAGATTTGTTGGAGTGTTGAAAAAGATTTATGGAGATTTCAACTCGATCATTTTGTTCATAAGGTACACGTGTTTACCATTTCTTTTTTTTCCGAAGCAATTCACTTTTATGAGTGAATCGTAAGCATCTATGCATCCTAAGATTTAGCCAAAATAATTTCTTTTCATTTTTTTTTCGGGGTGTGTGGGGTGTTGGGAAATGCATGATTGTTTTGTCTAGGGCAGATTATTTCGTTTTCTACATTTGTTAATCTCCAAGTCTTGCATTTTTTATCGAATGATATGCTTATCTCTCTAGTTTGTAAAATTGAATGATAACGTGATTCACTGAAGCCAGTTGTTGTTATTCAATCAAAAGATATAGTTGAGTCTCGCTAAATACTTGTAACATACTATGAGATTTAAACTTGGCAAATCGTTTAATTTGCATTTGAATGCCAAATTACAACGAATTCGTGCAAATGAATTGCATGACCAACACCAAGTTTACATAAATGTTTTCTCAGTTATTATAGCAAGACACTCTTTTTCGGCAAAACTATACTGTTTTAGAATTTTTATTATCTTGTATCACTTATGTTAGAATGTTATGAGCCATTCTTTGTAATGACAAACTTATACAGGAGCTTTTGTACGCGAAAGCTCTGAATTTCTTTGAATTCTTTTTGATTTATTTATTTTCATTACTTTTACCTCATATCTTGCAAAATTAGTTGCGATTTGTACGTGTAATGATTACCATGGAAAAGGTGGCTTAAAGGGAAAAATAACATTTTAATGTTAAGAGTCTCGTCTCGCATTTGGAGCAAAGATGAAAAGTTACTATAACATTCAAAAGCTGAAGGCTTACAAGTATATACTTTTATATGCTTTATAAACATGCACGTATTATGGAAAGCAATATCGAACATACGTTACAAAGACCTTGGAAATCATGTATTCCAAAATAACAATATTTAATTTTTATCCAAAAATATTATAGCTAAGAATAAAAGCAACAATGCGCATTTATCTTCAAATGCAAACAAAAAGTAGATAATGGCCCTTGTTTCATATTCTAATATTTGTGATATTTATTATACTGGCCATGGTCGGCAACAATTTTAAATATTGCAAAAGGGATTTCATCTCAATCCTTTAAATAATTTGGTTCTATCTCTTAAACAAGCATAATTCTATATAACCGCGCGGAGAACTAATTCAACGGCAATGATGTGATTCTAGCAATGAGTCAAGATTGATGGGGCTGCTATATAAAAATTGTTGAAAAAAAAAACATACGAAATTACATGATCCTGTTTCAGAGAATACGAATTAACCAAAAACTTTATTTTTTTCAAACTCTGCTACCTGCTATCTTTATCCTTTGCAACCAAGACAAAGCAACCACACAATTGCTGTAATATTTGTTTCAAAATTAACAATTATCTCCCTCATGCATAGCTCTGATCCTTTGACGTATTTGGCTGCAGTTTTTGGCATCTTCTTCAGCTCCTCCAACTTTTTTAATTTAAATATTTCGGATTTCCAACGAAAGCAATAATTATGATCTGTAACTTTGATGTCGGATTTCTTTTGTTGCAAAATTGTAAATAACTATTTCAATGATAGAAAAATAGCGTTAATAAACTTCTTTTGTTCATATTTGCGATGGAAAAAACTATTTATAAATTTCGATTGAATCATAATTACATTATTGTCGTCCTGTGCAGTAATGTTTTCTTATAAAAAAAAATGTATATTGGATTGTATATAGAAGTCTTTCTTCGCTCTATTTAGTCTAATTGAACATAAAGGTTTAAACTACATACAAATTTATCACAATAACACATTTTATAGGGGCTGGGGGTTGTGACCATTTTCAGACTATTTTGATCTCTTTTAGAAGAAGAGCTCCATATAAAGATATACAAAATGATCAAATTTCAAAACTAAAATGTAGGAAATTTTTCTTTGCCAAATGATTGTTGACAGCTGAAGATATCATATCTAAAAATTTAAGTTAAATCTGGTGGTTAATTTGGTTGACCCCACAGCCTCCTTAAGAGCAAAATGAAATTTTCAAAAATTCAGCTCATATTGCCTGAAGAGACGCAATTTGTTGAAATGCGCATCTGGTGCATTAAAAAAAGGTAAAAAAGTAACGATCAAAATAGGTACTAAAATTATCTCAGGTTGTAAATAATTTGCAAAGTTTCGTCGAAATCTGTGTTTATGTGTGACATACAGTGGTTTACAGAGGATAACTCCTCACGTTAACACTTATCAGGTACCAGAATAAATCTGAATTATATAAAGCAACACTTTTTAATATACAATCCAAAAATACAATAGAAAGGGCGCAGTTTGTAATGTATTCATAAATAATGACATCATCACTAATAAGACTTATAATTCTTGATATTTTAATTGCTACTTTAACATCTCGTTGTCTCATTGAACAATTAAGTGGTTCATATGTCTGCTATAAAATGACAATGTATGCATATGACTATTCGTCATAATCACTCTCATTTCTATTTAAGATCATATAGAAAAATTATATCGTATAAAAACTCGTGCAGTCTGTTTATTGATATATATTAACGAATGAATCTAATTATACATGTATGCAATAAATTATTTTTTATTTCCATAATTGGCATCATATGTATAATTTGAATATTTTCGATCTTCCACAATACTCATTTTTATCTATGGCCACTGAAGTCATTTACAAAAATTTCAAGTCAGTTATTATATACTTCTTAATCTTAAATATATATTTCAAGTGAAATTTCTCTGCAAAATAAGAAAATACCCTGCGATTTTGACAGAATGGAACTCTTGCAAATAATTTTTTCTTACATGTATTTGTCAACTACTAAGGATTGGGAAAGTTCACGTTTCTATCAGATTAATGATCACTTTCTCTTAACACAGAAACGATAAAAAAAATCTGCAAAGAAGTTTAAATAGTCAATTTACAGCGATGCAAAAGAAAATCGAGACAATTAGACAACATTTAGGTCTTAAATGTCAATATACATTGTAAACCTGATATTCCTTTTATTTTATTTTGTTTGAAATTTCTTTCACTAAAAGTGTTATGTCTTCACCATACTTGAAAATTGTAATCATTATGAAACCTCATTTATATTTTCAAGATGTGTAATAAAACATATGCTTTGGAAACATTTAAAAATGTTTCAAAGAAACAACAATTATAATACATTTCAGAGGTGACATGGCTGACATCTACAACAATACAAGTAAAATAAAAATGTCAAGACCTGGTTAAATCTAATATTTAAAAAAAATATATATACATGTATGACTCTAAGTGTATATGTCCTATGAATTATTCATGCACTTCGTTATTCCAATGAGTTAATGAGTTAATAATAATAATACAAAAGACCACAATTTCGCCTCATACTTGTCATGAAACATGTGATACTGGGACCTTTTGACAAGGAGGTCTTATATACAGTATATCGCTGGTTAAATCTTTGTATAAATTTTGCTATTTTTAGTTTGAAGACTTGTTAAGATGATGTTTAACATGATAACAGAGCTAATGATTTCAATGTTAAATAGTTTGAGTAAATGACTTAATTTGAAATGTAACTTTTTAAAAGAATGATGAAATTAACGACTTTTAACTGTCTACACTAAATAAGCGTTTTATCATGAAATAATAATATAACAAACAGTAATCACCCCAAAAAGTTCATTACAAAAAGGTTAAAACAATTAAGATATATAATCACATAGGCAAGTGTAAAGGCATCTTAAAAATACAGATATAACATTAGAAAAAATGGACACTTTTTAGTGTGCAATAGGTTTACCCAGTATGAGTGCATATGACGTTGAAGTTTTGATCGTTCATTTGTCCATGTTTTATTGCCAAAACTCTTGCGGCAACGGGCATCACTTTATACGGCCTAACCCGAAGGATTGGTTTCCATCTTCCGTATTTGGATTCAAACCCTCAATTAAGGATCAATTCATTACTCCTCGACTCTAGAGCAGGTGCTCCTACTACTGAGATACAATGTTGATTTGTACATCGATAAAACAATATATAAAAAAATCAAATAAAAATTTGGATTAAAATCAAAATTTTAATTAAAATCGAAATTTTTAATAAAAACAAACGAAAACGTATTATGTTTTGTTCCAAAATTAATAAACGTTTTTGGAAAGTATGTTTTGCTTTCTGGATAAAGAAATATATCTACGTATGACGTATTATCAAATTCCATAACTGAAAATGTTTGCAATGGAAACACAGTAATTTGTATGTTTGCAGATTTTTATTTAGGATAAAAAATATATTCATATAATCTTTTGATTAATAGCAATGCACCCTACTGCTTTTTCAAAGTTGAAACTATCACCGTTCTTAAAAGTAAATTCGTGATTGTCTTTCCCAACATGATAAATTAAATGACCAAACCGTCAAGAGATTATTTTTTAGCTGTCCACAACATGTCAACATATAAATTATTAATCATGCAAAATGTGTTTTATTTTTGACATCTGTGACCAAAATAAGCATTTCATAGACAAGTAAACAATGCAAATCGTTGCTGAAATTGAGATCGTCACGCATCAGTTGGTATTAAATGAAGCGTAAAATAAAACCTTAAGCCGTCACAGCAGCCGTATATAAAGCCCTCATGACAGAATCTTGATGAACAAAAAAACTTATTTACAAGTTACATTATCAAAACTAAGGGAATCTTTTCATCTGTGTTTGTTGTCTACCTTTGTTCTCTTGGAATACCGAACCGAAGGTATGATATCATAGTCAACATTTTCTACATATACCTTGAAAGAAGCTGGGTTGACATTTAAAAGTCATATGTTAGTGTTGAAAATTTAAGCACGAAGACATTAGTAATAATTTTTGATTTATAGCTAGTTATGATATTTAAAACTTTTTAATGATATAAATCAAAATGGGTTTTTGATGTAATGCATTATACGATTTGCAAGACTATGATTCGAAAAAGTAAAGAATCTCAGCATGAAATATGTAATGTTTTGTTTATTGTTTTATTTGCAGAAAATGCTACTGTTGTTGCAACGAATAATATATTGTCAGCTTTGCGTGCTGATAGTCAATTCGGCACCATCACTCATTAAAGTGGAAGGTGATAAAACAGCTGTTAAATCTCCTGAGTACCTCGTCAACAACACGGAAGGCACCATCATCAAAGATATCGACGATGGCAAAACTTCTTTCCCTGTTAACGCCACGAAGAATATTGAAAATAATAGAAACTCGACAGCCTCTAACAACGATAACGATGGTAATTCTATGAAACGGGCAGACCCAACTATCAAAACGATAAAACCAACTGCTGAAAAAATGAAAGACATTAAAAAGAAACCAAAATCAATGAAATCTTTAAAAGGGAAGAAAGGCAGAAAGTCAGCATCCTCCGAGAGGACATTCACCCCTTCGATGTCCCCGGTCATAGGTACCAAAACACCGGATCCGTTTTACGATGGATTTGGATTTTTCGAAACAACAACACCATTATTTGTCGATATGACTTCTACCACTACTCCAGCACCTCTCACCCATGCACCCAAACAACCTACAACGACCTTTTCACGTTAGTAAAGACATTTAAATTGTACCGTATACATGTATCTCTTTATCAATCTTACGATTTCCAGAAATCTTTGTTAATATTAATTGCACAACATATTTCATATTGCAGCTTGTCCACCAAACATTCGAGCCAATCCTAATAACAAAAATGAGTATCACTACCTCACTGGTCCTTGGTCGGGATACTATATAAAATGTCCTGCAGGTTTAGAATTCCGTGAGGATAAATGTATTTGTGATTATCCACGTATAGAAGCGGTCAAAAATTGTCCTTGTTGCGAATCTGGTGTCATGAAACACGACATGCACAAAAATATGTTTAAGCGCCTGATAAATGGAGTGTGGGTTGACGATTCCTGTCAGTTCCATTCTATGGTCTGGGATGACAAAGAGTGCAAGTGTGTCTGGGACACCGAAATGTCTGACAGAGAAGATATGAAAACCGAGGAACATTTGAAGGCTTACAGTTTATGTAAGTAATTTTTTAAAAAATTAAATTTGTTTGACATTTTCTTATAGTGTAAAAATAATTCTTTCAGTTGGTTACCTAGAAATTTGAAATTAGAGATTTTCTCTTCAAAAGTGTGTGAGGGAATCTTAATTGATTTTGACATTGTATTAAATTTTTAAAGTTAAATATTATATAAAATTTCGGACATTTTTGTTCCCAATATATATAATGCTAATTATAGGTAGTTATGTGTTGCAAATACAATTTTTTAAGATTAATTACGGTGTTTAATTTTTTCACAGACAATGAAAGATGTGTTACTCTCCTGAACATGACCCTAGACAAAGAACTGAAAGATGAAGACGGAAAACACATAACCGGAATCAGAAAAATACACAGTCGGCGATTTAAGGCCATCAAAGGAGCCGTCAACAAGGCTATGTTGTTTGTGTATACCCCATTTGAAATGCAGTCTTTCAAAGGAAATAGCTTGGAAAGGAACATCTACATCAGCTTTAACTTTAAGCCTGTGGTACAGAATGCAAAGAAAGTCACGCTTTTTACAAATGGTTGTGAAACACAAACAGCTATTCGGGAGATGTTGGCACCTTCAATAGAGATTAATTTCTTACCACGTGATGAAACATTGGAGTTTATATTAAAAACTGAATCAAAATCAGTGGATATACATGCGAAGCCAGTACGGGTAAGTAAATATATTATTAAAATTTGATTAGTTTAGAAAGATGAATTATTAAACTTTTATTTTTTAAAATATTTGGTTTAATATTTGCAAAATTGAGTGCAATGGAATGACTAAAACAAATATGAAATTTTATTTTTAGCAATAAGGAGACTATATATATTTAAACATGATTAAGTGCTTACATAAACGTTTCACGACACACTGCAATGTCAGTAATTATGAATAAAATTTTAAAAATCCCACCTTTTTATTTGGATATGCTCCTTTTATTAATAGAGCCATTATAGATCATTTGCTGACATAAAAATTAATTTCGGAAAAAATTTAACTATCCTGTCATTTTTTCTATTTTTTTTAAAAACATGATGCCATTAATTGAACGAATAGATTCAACATGACTCTTAAAAAAGGCGTTCTGTTGTAATAACAGTAATTCTTTTCAATTGCCAAACCATCTTCGGTAATCGGATGTGCTAGTTGGATGTAAACATAATTTGAAATTGCCTGATACTTCTTGCGAAAGAAATCAAATAATATTCTCAAATTTAAAATTATATGACTAACAGTTATATAGGGAAAACGTGAAGAATGTTACGTTAAATATGAATGATAAATATTTCTTTTTTTTTCTTTTAGGACCCTTTTGATTGGTACAGAGTTAGAATGTATCTCCAAGACAACGAATTAACAATCATCGTCAACAATGATATTCTCTATCGTTCTAATGATTTAAATGGTAGGTTGCAACCTTTTAAAAAAAATGGATCCTGAAATTTTTTGTACTATAACCTGTTCCATAATTTACTACTTATTCCTCTATTGTAGGTAAAATTATCAGCACAAATTGTAACTTAATGATTGGAGGGTCACCTTTTAATAATGATCAGAAGTATATGGGATATATGGACGAGGTATATAATTGTGTGTTATATATAAAAAAAAATCTAACTGTTTTGAATCCTTTTTTTTGTTTGTCATTATCATCACAATATACACAATTTCTCTTCTTTTGTAGATATTGATAGTGAAGCAATGTCCGTACGCAAAAATACACAACATTGGACTACAAGCTGGCTGAACCAGACATAATCCACGAGGTGAATAATATCAAATCCCCATTTGATACAGTTTGACCTTGGTTTCCCAGAACTTTCAGTCTGGATTGATGGAAAGTTTTTGATTTGCCAAACTCTTGATTTCTTACTTTTAGAGGTGCTTCTGTTTCTCTGCAATGATAAACATGGACTTACCTTTAGAACAAAGACACATACACATGAAACATGAACGAAAGACACTATATATTTAAAGTGCAGTGAAAATTGTTACATTTACGAAATCCATCTTCTGTTTTGTACATAGCTTGTACAAACTGTATAATTTTATCTTTTTTCTTTGAAAGAAATCCAAGCCGTGTGTATAAATTATCTGTATATAATATAATTACTTGATTTAGAATACATCAGTGTTTTGTAAATAGCTCATAAATCATTCATTGTTAGATTGTTTTAAAACTTCGATTTTAAATCAGATATATTTTTTAATAAAAATATTTATTGGAATTTATATTATGTTGATTTGACTACTTACCATTCGGTATAATCATAGCCAGGTTCCATTTTTACCCAACTCTTCATAGTACCTTACATGTCTCTCCTGGCTTTGCTAGAAATGAAGTGGTTATTACGTGAAGTCATCTTTTACCAACATTAATCTAAACCTGGTGCATGAAAAATGCAAGTTCTTTAACATTTTAAGTTCAAAGCTTTATTCGTTTTGAACATGATGTTTCCCATGAACAAATGGAAATAATCCTATTATATGATGTGTGAAAACCGTATTTCCAATGGTTCATAAATGTCTGAGATTGTTTATAATTTTCTCATCTGTATGCTAAGAAATTTTGTTAAAGAAATTATTAGTTTCTTTTCTACATGAATTTGATATATCCCATTGAACTTGAAATTAAATTTAATATTAAGATGGTTTACTAGAGATTAGGCGTTAGACTTATTATGCATAATTATATTACAATTACATGGACCTGGAGAATTTGGGCATTAAATTATCATTACTCTTATTTCTTGTTCTAAGTTCTTATAAATTATATTTTCACGTACTTGCATTTACTACATTATAAAAAACTTGAATATATTTTATTAAAACAAGAAAAACTATTAATTTGCATTTTTCTATATTAAGTCGTTACCTTTTATATAAAACAGTAAAAAATGGCCCTCAGCCCCTCTCTAAATATAATAGACATTGCTTTGAGCCAATTCAAATCTTTATATATACAAAAATTGAACACATTGACAAGTAAAAAAAAAAGTTTTAGCGATGTGTGTTATATGTAGCAGTTCTTTTCTTTATCTCTTTTGCCAATTAAGAGAATTTTTACCGGTATCATAATGAAATTTCATCTAGAAAGAAAAAATCTTTCTACAGTTGAATCCACACTTTTCAAAAGTTATGTCCGTTGGCCGCTAATAAACCAACAGAATCCTCACACTGGCCTTTGTAGTTTTCAGGTTTGTAACTTTGTCATTTGATTGGGAAAAATCGTTACATAGTGTATACTGATTGTCCCATGTTGGGGCTACCCACACATCCAAAGAAAACAATTTAAACACAATGGATTCAACATAGCCCGCCCAAATGTTTGGTAGCATAAGGAGGAGAAATGTTGTTTCTTTCCCTTTGGACGTTTTGGTTGACCCCGCAAAGGGACATTACTTTCGTAAAGTATTGGACTATTAACAAAACCAGCCAGAGCCAGGAGAATGGAAATAGTGTTTTGTTTGGATTGCTACATAATTCTTATTAAATGTACTGTGTGTTTTGTTGATGGCCCTGAGTTTTACAATTAGTACAGAGACAAAAACCTAAGTGTACTGTTAATTCTGACGTATTTCTAAATGTATAAAGGGATCATGAAACCCAACCTGATATTCTTAATTAATTTTACACTAATTTGAAATAAAGGTGAAAATATGGACGTTTTGAATTTATCACTTTTTGGAAATAATCCTTTTAAGAATATTGCAAAACTTAAAGTTTATTAAAATTAAGTTAGCTTTTTTCCGAATAGTCAAAATTGTTAAGTCATTTTTTTCAAATTTTCTATATTTTACTAATTTCAAATTTTACTGAATGACTTCTCTGCATGTTTTACATGTTTTTAAATTTAAAATATTAAAATGAGTTTCTGCACAATTATGCATAATAATGCTGAATAATATAAGAATCGCCCTTATTTTCAGAAAATAATGTATTATATTATCATTAAATTAATGTAGATTTTTCTTCAATACATATGCTAGAATTGCTTTGATAAAGTAAGAAACTCGTCATTTATACAGCAAAATTCCATTATAACTTGCATTCAGACTTGCATATAATTTTTCTATCTCCAATTTAATTTGATTAATTTGATAAGTGTATACCTTAAGTTCAAACAATTTCATAAACGGGACGTGATTTTAACAAATAAGTTGATACTACGAGGATTTTCAAATTCTCCTTTCAAGTCGATGTTCTGCAAATTGTTTTTGTCTGTTTTTAATTAAATTGAGCTTGGTTCTTTTGTACAAATTCTTTGTCGGGGCATTTTATCAATACTGAACTTCTACGGTTTTCCAGTTTACCCGATCATTCCAAGGAGCAAACAGCGTGTGTTCGGTACAGAAGGGATGCTTGTTACTCAAGGGCACCTGATTCTAAAGAGATCCGTGTTGGCTCTGCTCATTATTTGTTATTGTTCATAGGACTTTTCCAAATAATTTTTACAACTTTGACCTTCATTTCAAGGTTTTACATCCATCAACATCCGAGCTTTAAGAACCTATCTAATGTAATCAACTATTAACAATATTCCAGTGCTTTATTATTCAATTATAAGAAGAAGAAATATTCAATAATTATGTTTATGTAAGTTTTGTACAATACCTGCTTTGACCAATTGACCTAAGTTCGATAGATATTTTATGACACTTCTATAACTTAAAGATGGGAGATCAAAGTCATTCAAATCAAGAGTTCTGGGGTTTTGACCAGGAAACGCATAAATTCATATGCCTTGACCTTTACTGTATGACTTATCACTATGAACCTGTAACTATATGTAGTATTGTAGCCAATAGAATGCCATGATCTTTTGAATATGACTTATCACATTTGAACCTGTTCCTATTATGTAGTATGATGTATTTTAATCAATCTTCTTCCTATGGAGAGGGCTTATATAGGATATTCCTTCTATCCAATTCATTTATGTATTTATTACGTAATAAAATATGTTGAAATCAAACAATATGACATTTAGTCTTCATATATACCATTTATTTGTGTTTGTAAGTATCTTACAACTTATTCGATACTCAAGACCATGCAACAGTCTGTAAAACGCAATTTATTGCTTTGTGTTTAATATGCCTTTTCAGCTTTGTAAAAATGTGAGGTATATACCGTATAAGTTGAAATTTTAGCGAGACGCAAATTTAGCCTTAAAAGTGGGTAGTTTATTTTTAGCGAGAAGTAATTTCAGCGATATCAAAAAGCTCACTATAGAAACTATTACAACTAAAACGCAATTAATTTTAGCGATCTCGGTACCCTCGCTAATAATGCCAAAATTAAATCCTCGCTAAAATTTCTGCTTATACGGTATATACATGTGTTTCATTCTTTAACTTTAGATATATTAATTATATGGAGATAACGAACAGTATTCAAGATTAAAAGTCCAAAAAACAATACAAAATAGAAGCAGAGCAAACACGGACCACCAACGGAGGTGGGATCAGATTCCATGGAGGAGTGAGCATCCCCTGCCGACCAGTCAAACCTGCCGTATTTAAGGATTCCGGGAATTTAATTGGGATACTTTCTCCTTGAAGAAAACAGTACTATCGAATATCTGTTTAAGAAAAAAAAGTTTCCAAAAAACCTTGAAAATTACCTTTACAAAAATGCAAATATAAAAGAAGTGAGTTAAGATCAGTGTATAATGATTTCTCTGAAAGAAAATTAAAAAAGACAATAATTATCGGTAGTTATGAATCTGAATATCATTTATTTAGATTAATTTATAATCAAAGATGTACATTGACTTCGGAAACATTCATCATTGTTTCGGAGAAAGAACAATCATCTTCCTGTGAATTCATTTCATGATTGACAATTAAGACAATAATTTTACATTCAAAAACCCAAAAGCTGTATAATTAAATAAACAAAACAGCTGAAATTGATGACCCTAAAGTGTATGCTCTATTTAATTATTCATGTGAATTATCGTTTAATTGTGATAAGTTAATAATTAACAAAAACCACAAATCTGCCATCTTGTACATAAAGAACACGTGGTAATAATGGTCTTTGACAATGCGGCTTGTTTGCAGATCGTGATTGCACTACCGGTAACATCTTTAAAGTGTAAATCGTCCGATATATATTTTTAGCTCCGTTTACTTTATTGGTAACATTACCATAATGCTTAGGCTATGCATTCAAATTTTTGCTCAAAGAGTAGTTTAACATGATGTGACTTTAATGTAATTTGAATTCGAAATGCAATACGTTTTATGGTGTTGTGATATGCTCCGACAGAACTTAATAGTTCTGACTGATTTTGATAGGTGGAATGAAGGCTCTGATAGTTTACAATGCTAATAAATGGACAAAACCTAACGAATAACTTTCATAGGTACAGAATAGATGCATGGAATACAAAAATAATCTTGTTTTTAGTATGGTTTGTTGAAAATTATATTTCAAAATTTATTCATTGTCAGATTTATGTTAAGGTAGTCCGATCCTCAGTTCATATATTTCAGGAGTTGGGTAATTGAAAATGCTCACAAATACATCATATCATGCTTATCATCCTTATAAACATGGGAGTGAAACAGGTCAAATTTTTACAAGAGCATTTCTAAGACTTCAAAGAATCTTTTTAGAGTCACCTTGATGCTACTAATTCTTTCTCTCTGATTCTTTATATAACCATGCTTTCATATCTTAAAAAATAAACCAAGATTGATTGGTAAAAATGTAATATCAATAAAATATGTGTACGTGATTTATTATAGAGTTAATATATTCACATTCCCTGATTTCTTTCAATTACGTCAAAATTTTTCGATGAATGATGGAAACAGAGTTGTGTGAGGCTGAACAGAGATAATCGTAGAATTGTGACGTCACGGATGTTCAAAGTTCAAAGATCTACTGATTGATTATGACCTTTCCCATTCTTATTTTAAAACGTCATTGTATTGATCAAAACACTCTTTATGCAATAGAGCTTTTTACCATTCCTTAAAATACTTCATTGCACCATGTATCTTTCTCGAATACGGTATTGGCCTTTTGTTGACATGTCTTCCAAAGCAACGTTAACAACCAAAGCCAAGTACAGAGGATTAAGAGAAAATAAGATGATGCTCATACAAATAAAATAATTGTTTAATAGATATATTTGTTTTTTTTTCAATTGTTGAAAAAAATATTTTGTTAAAAGGAAAGAAAATCTCGAAACATTAACTGGAACAGTTAACCTGAATGATAAATGTAAATTAAACGTTTCGTTTTAAGAATTTTAACATCTGTTGTGAAGTCAATTGCAATTTGTTGAATAGTTGAATAATTATTTGAATAAAATTTTTGCATATCACATGCCAATTTTATTCAAATTGCATACTTCCAAGACTTAATGAAAGAAAAAAGATATACTTTGATGTTTGCCTTTTCCTATTCTGCTGACTACGATAAATATGGACAAGTAGAAATTCTTATACCTGAGGGATCTAGAAATATAGGTGTTTTCTTGAGTAAACTAGTAGAAAATTTGCCTGGCCAAAAAATAATCATTGATTACTAATCATATTTACATTTTGATTCTATACCTTAAAGACATTATGAATATTTTTTACATTTATAATTCTAAATTTATATAATTATTATAATCAAATTTTTATATTCTATATAAAAAGATAAATCAAAATATTGTTATCTCCTTATAAAGAAATCAGGTTTGATTAATTATACTTTAAGGTGAAAACAAATCTCCCAAAGCGCACTAAAATGTTTTGATATATAAACATGAAGAAATGAATAATTATCTTTAAGAATCTGTTAAACATGCAGCAAATTTCTTCATAATTAAATCGTGATTTGTCACACCCAACTTAATAAATAGCTATAACATAATCCCCATGAGATCACCCTTACTTGTCCATGATACGTCAATATAAAAAATAATACTAGTATTCAAAATGCAAAATTGGGAAATTTCGCGATCACAGTGACAAAAAAAATAAATCTTCTATAGACTGATAAACAACGCAGATCTGTGCTAAAATTGAGAGTGTCATGCATCAATAGATTTTGAATGAAGTCGAGCGTGCAATATGACCGTTAGCTGTCAAACCAGACACATATAAAGAGCCTCAACAACCGGTGTCTTGATTAATAAATCCCTAACTTATTTACTAGGTTGGTAAATCCAGGGAAAATTCTATAGAATCTTTAATTTGATATTGCATCCTTTTTATCACTGGACTTTTGAAAAAAAGGTAAGACCTTTTTAAGTGTAATTTTCTTGTAATATTTTTTTCTGAATGGCATAAAAGCTGTTCATAATAGCTTGCCGCTTTTAGTGATTTACATTTAAACGTGACAGCAACAGACTTTGGATTTGATTTGTTACTAATAGAAAATTATTTTTGCAAAAGCAATTTTCTCGCTTATGTCTCAAGAATACATGTATCGTAAGATTTAGTCAATTAAAACTCATTTCTTCAATATCATATATTTATTAAGCTTATAGTTCTACAGATCTAGATTTGATGATATACAACATCATGGCTGAATTAACATGCATTTTTCTTTCTAGAGAAAAAAATGTCTTTGCCATTGCGAGGAATTATTTTCTGTCAAGTTTGCATATGGATGGTAGAATCAGCACCCTCTTTGTCTAAGATAGAAGGAGTAATAACCCCGGATGAATCGGTTCAGTCCCTAACCAACAACATTGGAAACAGCATCTACACTGGAATGGCTGAAGCTTCCTTAGCAGATCCAACCGCCACTGACCTACTTAACAAACGCAAAGGAGGATACACAGACGTCTCAGGCGCTGGGGACTTTTCTGTTACTAACACTATTACATCTTCCAAGGATAGTAATGTAAATAGGTTTGATCAGACAAGTCCAACAATCAATGAAGTAAAGCCAACTGTGAAAGCAATGAAAGCATTCAAAAAGCAAAAGAAGCCCACAAAAGGAACACTTTCAAAGAAATCAGAAAGGAATAATCCTAAGATGTCCGAAAACACACTTTTGGAAACATTTACGACAACCACGATGTCCTCTGTTTTGGATGGCGAAACATCGGATCCATTCTTCGACAGTTTTGATAATTTCGAAACAACAACCCCATTTGGTGGTCTTACCACTACTCCACTTGTTACAACAACTCTACCACCTCTTAGACCATTGGATAATAAAGGTCCACCAACGACTACCTTTACACGTAAGTAAAATGATATTTTCATATTCCCCCTAATTGTACCTTTCCTTGAATTCTTTCTTATATCTTCTCCTTTGCACCAAAAAAGCACAACAATTACACTTTTAATCACATACATCTAAAATTATTCTTATAATTCACAATATCTGTCTGTCTTTCTACAGCATGTTCAGCAAATATTCGAGCTAATCCAAAGAACAGGAATATATATTCCTATTTATCTGGCCCTTGGTCTGGATATTTTATTCGATGTCCGGCAGGACTTGAATTCCGCGAAGACAGATGTCGTTGTGACTGGCCCTTAATGGAAGCTGTAGAAAACTGTTCGTGTTGCAAATCTGGTGTTATGAAACACGAAAAGCATAGAAACATGTTCAAACGTCTGATTAATGGCCAGTGGGTTGATGAAGTTTGTCAATCTCACACCATGGTCTGGGATGATACAGAGTGCAAGTGTGTCTGGGATGCTAACAAACCAGGGAGGGAAATCGTGCCAGTGGATAAACCAACTAAATATTATCCTAGATGTAAGTATTGTGTTTTAGAATGTCATTTACTTCGTATAAAAATCTTGAAAGAAGGATATGATAATGAAAGCATTATTTTTGCACAGAAACAAATGTGCCTTTTCCTTTTTTAATTATGTTTTTTCGTATGAATTAGTACCTGAAATAAATTCAAACAGAATGTGATGAAATGTAAAAAATTTGAATGTGGTAGTCATTAACATAATCACTCAATAAATATAGATTTTAAAGAATTTGCTCTAATAACCTATTAACAAACAGCAAACAAATCAACGGATAAGGTCAAAACAAACTTTAGATCTGACATTTAAAACATTATCATATTTTTGAACATTGTAAATCATTGAGAAATATCATCATGCTTGCTTTCGAAGAAATGTTTGCTGTTGATTCGTGTTAATTTATGCATAGTGTGGCAACTGCGGTCAATAACATTTTTTTCCTCAAAATATCTTATGAAGTATTTCAAAAAAGTGTTCTTTCTGCATCCTGAAACCACAATGAGCAATACTCCTTTCCTGTTAAAAAATATCTACGAAGTATTTCAAAAAAAATGTTCTTTATGCATTTTAAAACCACAATGAGCAGTATTCCTTTCCTGTAAAAAACAGAACAGTTTGTTAACAGTTATCTTTATATTTTTGTTTTCCAGATAATGAACGATGTGTTACGCTGCTAAACATGACCCTTGACAAAGAATTGAAAGATGAAGACGGAAAACACATAACTGGAACCAGAAAAATACACAGTCGGCGATTTAAGGCCATCAAAGGAGCCGTCAACAAGGCCATGTTGTTTGTATATACCCCATTTGAACTACAGTCTTTCAAAGGAAACAGTTTGGAAAGGAACATCTACATCAGCTTTAACTTTAAGCCTGTGGTACAGAATGCCAAGAAGGTCACACTGTTTTCAAATGGTTGTAAAGCATACGAAGCAATCGAACAAAAACTGCCACCATCTATCGAAATCAATTTCTTCCCACATAACGAAACTATGGAATTCATCTTCAAGACTGAATCCAAATCATTGAGCATCTACAGGAAACCAAGAAGGGTAAGTGATGGATTATTTTGAAATTTTCCATTCTTTCTACTTTAAAAGTTTCTGGTATAAGAAATGTAAAACAGTCAAAGATTAAAACAAAGTAAATAAAAAAGCATCCAGTTGCCCCTATTTCTTAATTAACAGTATATGGGTATTTTCTCCTTGTAGGACCCATATGACTGGTACAGAGTTAGAATGTATCTACAGGACAAAGTTCTAACAATTATTATCAACAACGAAGTTCTCTACAATTCAAATGGTTTGAATGGTAAGTTGTCTAATTCCTTTTCAGTTCGGTGTTCTGTTTTTCTTTTGTATATGGAATTATTGTTTCACATTGTATTCCTCTCTATTGTATTTACAATCTTTGTATAATATTTTATAGGTAAAATTATTAGCACCAACTGCAACTTAATGGTTGGCGGATCTCCATTTAACAGTGAGCAGAAATATATCGGATACATGGACGAGGTACCTTTTTTCCCAAAAGTTTTTGCAGTGCAATATGTTTTCTACTAAACAAAACTTTTACATTTACCATAGCTAGATATTAATTTAATCGTGCTGTTCCTAAAATATGTCCTCTTTTATATTTCAGATTTTAATAGTTAAGCAGTGTCCATATGCCAAAAAGAATAACCTTGGACCTCAAGCTGGCTGAAAGATCTCCTCCAGTGCGTGAACGATATCAAACCCCCCATTTGATACCATTTTGCTGTGATTTCACAGTTTCATACCTCTGGATTTTAATGAGGTTTTTGATTTACAAAGTTCTGTCTCGTTTTTCTAATTCTGAATACGGAAACAGAATTTTTAATTGGTTCTTTTACCTCAAGGCTTGCATGACCTTTGATATTCCAGAAACCGATTCTGGAAAAAATTGAAATGAATTTCAAAATCTTCAGTGCATGTAAGAACAATCTGTGGTGAAGAATGCCTGACATTTGAGAAATCCATACATGTTTCATGAATAATTTGTAAAACATCATATCATTATATGTTAATGTTGTATTTCTTATGCTGTTGTAATTGCTAAATTATTCATTGCTTTTTTTTCTGTTATGTAATTTTAAAAACTTTTTTCAACCGTTCGCTCCTAGAAATCATTTTAAATATAGGTTCTGAGTTGTCCATTTTATCCCATTAATTCCAATCTAGGCACGAACATGGCATAATTTGAATAAATGGTAATATAAGAGAATTGTTTTAGCAGTATTATATTAATAAGCTTCAATTATCCAACTTATTGATTGACAGTCCTCAAAATTCAGAATGCTATATTCTCAACACGCTGAATAACCTTTTATGGTGGTTGACGTGCATTCACGTTTAGAATACTTATATATTTAGCCATAATTCTTTCTTTGAATTTCATGATTAAAATATAAGTAATCATTTTGTTGTCACGTTACATTTAAAAGAGAAAAAAAGTTCGAGAGAATAGTTCTTTCCTTGACCCCTTGCAGCAGTGAAGGAGATATTAATGTGTCTCAGTGACATATTTGTTTTACGATTTACTTTTTCTAGCTTGACAGGCCACTACATGTATAATATCATGCCGTTCTATATTTGTCAACAACTTAATGTATTTATGGAGTTTTCTGTGTATTAGAGAAAGAGACAAACCCCGTTATTAGTATAACAAGATTGTTGTACTGTGTACATATAAGAAATTATTTATTTATTTTCATCAATAAGCAGAATTGCATGTAGAAAACAAAAACAAGGTACTTTATGAATATTTAGAAAGATCACGTTCTACTTGTATGTGACTTTTCCAGTGTTGTATTGTGATACGAACGTCATATTTTGTTAATTTATTTTACTTGTTATATTTGACAAATAAGAATTATGTATATAGTGCTTGAACATTTCTGTGATACAAATATAAAAACCATGTACAATAAAAAAATGCTAATTCTATGTTTGTTCATGGTAGTTTATGAGAGTGAATGACAAGTTTTGGTAACAATATCCCAAAATATTTTTGCTTTGTTAACGTTTCTTGAAGAAATTTCACCTATATTAAGACGATATTTGAAGTCTGCAACTTTAGACCTGAACTAACTGCCTTTGAGCAGAAAGGTTTCTTTTTTGCCAGCATCTACCACGGCATGAAATATCTGTTTATATACACAGTCTATTATTAAGATCTAGCTCCATATCATACAATGAATTCAAACTCGCCAAAATATTGTAACTTTAAGAGTTCTTATTTACAGGACCTTAAATGCTACAGACCTATTTTCATACAAACATTAAAACATTATTCGCAGACATGTCTACAAAAATTATAAAAAATTACACAGTTGTGTCCCGAAATTCACAGGGCGTAATTTGGATCGTTAATTTTAATTATATGTTCTATAAATCAAACACTAAATATATAGGCCTACATTATACATAAGAAACAATACAAAGCACTATAAAGAACGACTTCATAAAATTACGATCCCTATCGTGTATTTTTTTTTAAATAAAACTATGGAAAGTTTACTTGCACTTGGTAGCACTCAGGTTCCTCCAGATCAGCAACTTCTTTAATAAAAATGTATATTTTCTTTTGTAACAATTATTTACCTGCATATAATGCCATGTTCACACGGAGAGTTTAATTCGAATGAAACGTAAGTTACTGCGAATTAGATTCGCTTAGCGTTCACACGGAGAATTTAATGCGAATTAGTTTAATTCGAATTAATTTACTGCACATTAAATTACTTCGCATTAACTCCGTGTGAATGCTTAGCAAAGCTAATTCGAATTAAATTTTGAAAGGCCTGAAGGTCACAGGACACATGTTGGTGGTTAGATATAGTAATCTGTGCTTTTGGTTCAAAAATCGACGAAAAGTCTGTTAATCACTAAATGTATACCTGGCCTGGGGGTCATAAAACGGGTTCACTTTTGATCTCAGTCTCACTTATACCAAAGGAATATTAAGGGGAAAAGTGAGACTGAGATCAAAAGTAAGCTCGTCTAAGTTTTATGCCCCCTCCCCCTAGGCCAGTAGTCACTATGATTATTATATCAAATGGATGGCTCTGCATACATGACGTGATTTGCAATTGACGTCATAATAGACTTTCTGAATAGCCTTTTTGTAGAAATAAAATTTTATTCGGATTAATTTACTTCGCTTTAGCTCTCGTGTGAACGGAATTTAATTTGCATTATTTTAATTCGCATTTGATTATTTCGCTTTAATTTACTACGAATTAAGCTCTCCGTGTTAACTGGGCATTAACATAATCACTTGTCTTGATACAGTAAACTATGAGATAAAACAAACTTTGTGTTCTTAACAAAGCTTTAATTCAAACTTTACTGGATCAATATCATAAACAAAATACAAGAAACATGAGAAAATCGTTTATATACATTTTTTTTTGTTTTATCTTCAAGTATTTCTTTAAAATGAAGGACTGGAGTATCAATTGAATTGCAATCAATAAAACATGATTTTGCGAGGAACCATATGACGAACTAAAAGTGCATTAAAATAATAGTCAATATTACATACCTACTATGTACAAAAAAAAATGATTTAAGACATGTATGCATTAAACCATTAATCATTTCAAGATTGTTTAACTCTTATTCGCAGCTAAATGCTATGACACATCAACAATATTATGCACGAAGAATTTCAAATAGGGCAATCTTTGAATCATCACATGTTTTTATGAACAAAATTAGGTACATTTTTTTAATCTCTTCATTCTTTTATGAGATATCCCACGAACAGTTTCTTGCCTAGATATTTGCAGATACAATATTCTTAAAAACAACAACTGAACAATCAAAAATTGAAAATTTCATAATATTTACCTTCATATTACAATTTTTCTCTGTTTCTTCAATCATAAAACTGTTTGATAATATTATCTACCGATATTTAAGTATAAACCTCAAAGTATTTTCAAGAAAATGTGTTTGATAATATTATCAAACGATATTCAAGTATGAACTTCAACGTAAAAGCAATGTGTAACTATTAAAAGAATCCCCTAAGCTGTTGCAGGGCAAATGGACTATTTTTCATAATAAGTGAGTTTTTTTTCACACAGTATTCAATTCACAAGGAAGTCTCTCTGAGATCCCCCGAAGTGCTCCTTCATCAATCATTATTTTACAATAGACACAAATGTCAATTATTGTATATAAAGTGATCAATAAAATATCAAAAACTGATGTATTTACAATAATGTACACACGACCAGCACAGAAATCAAAATAATTACTGGCTGTTCCAACGAGTTGTCCTGATTTTCAAATAAAAAGATACATCATTAATTGTCAGAAAATTCTAGTAATTTATCCTTATAAATTTCAATCAAATAAACATAAGTTTAAAGTACGTATGAACGAATTATGTTATAACTAAATAAACATAAGGTTAAGGTACGTGTGAAGGTATTTTACTCTTTGGTATTTTATATAAAAAAGAGCCGTCTGACTCAAATCAGCTTAAATACAAGTCACAAGGACGTGGTACTCTAAGGACTAGATTTGAGCCTTTAGTATCCTTATTCGCTCGTCGAGTTCTTTCCATGCATAAAGCATGACCTTTACTATGGAAATAATCTGTCTCAATGTATGAAGGTAAATAAATATATAAGAGTTTTTATGTCTGAATTCTGCTTCTTTTGCGCTTCCGTTTTTGTAACGTTGTTGAATTCCGGACAAGATAATCAGTGTATACACCGTCAATTAAACGTCGGCCATTTTTCTGCACCATCCAACAGGACACATAAGAGTTTGTTGCTAAATTGACTCTTCTACCAAGTAAAGCTGTTACTCTGCGCATGCGTTTTATGTTTCCTTCTACTTTCAGTTTCCCTCTGGTTTTACCACTCTTTGACTTTTTCTTCTTTTCTAACGATATTCGTCTGTAAATGAATTGCCCTAAAATAAAAAAAAAAAGAAAAGTGTATTTTTCAACACTTTATACATACAGATTTTTTTTTAATAGAAAAATGTTCTTTTTGGCATTATAAAACAACTGCTTCCTTTATAAAAATGGAGACCGGTGGCTGTGAGGTACATGTATCTTCACATTTTACATTTACTGGTAAATCATTAAGGTAGAAAAAATCTACAACACCTACTGAATATATTCTTCAAAGGAAGTAACATATCGATATATGACACTGAATGTTAAAAATCACTAAGTTAACGAAATGCACAAGTTTAGTTTCAACTGCTGATTTCTTTTTAAAACTAAAAAAAATTGTTTTACAAATGCGCAATACAATATAAGCATTGATAAATTAAGCATCTGCATTTTTAAAAAAAATTCACATCTTAAAAGATAATATACAATTATGTTCACTTTTATAATTCGATAAATTTAATGATATAAAAATAAAAAAATAAGGAGATATGTCTACCTAATAATCCATGTGTATACCAAGAAAATCCCCTATCGTCAACAATGTAGAAACCGAGGAAGTTGATTTGCCCCATCTCCAATTGTCTTTTTGTCCTCATATGGCGGACAATCAACAAAGTGATTTTATGAGGAAACATAATGGCGATCATTTTTCCTGTCCCATCTGTAACAAGCTTTGTCTTGTGAACAGTGATGGTCTGTGCTGGTTGCCATTTGTAAATATGTTCATTCACCTTCCAGCCGCTAGGCGAAACATTTATAACAGAACGATCTCCGGATATTGTTACTTCTCCGAAATAGGTTTTAACTTTTGACTTGTCGTTTGTAGTTCTATTTCGGTGATTGGAGGAAGTTGTATTAGAACCGTTGTCATCTGTTGTTGCAACCTTAGCATTTACGATAATCCCTGAAACAAGCAAGCAAAAGTCTTATTCAGAGTAAAGAACAGTCCACATTCGGTGATTCCACATTGTAACTGCAGAAAGTACTATTGATAAGTAATATTGTAAACGCAATTCTTATCCAGGATTCCTAAATCAATTCTGAGTTGAGGTAACACCATATACGAGGGTTGATCCAAAAGTTCGTGGAATTTCTTTCTAAAATTTTATCGTGATTTGATGAAAGCAAATAATATGCATATTTATAATAAAGAGTCATAATGTAACAATATTGGAAAATTTCACTACGTTCTAATTACCAATAAGGTCACACGAGCTTTCTGAAAAGGAATAGTTGTGAAACCCGGGGGAGACTTCGACGTTACGTCCAATTTGACATGTCATGTCACGTTATAGAAGCATCTCACCCTAATGTCCAAATCGAATACCTAATTCTACAATATGCTGCCATTTTCTAATTTTTTTTCTCACGAAAAGCCTGGGTATCCTCTTGCATCAACAGATCTTCATTTTTCACTCATACATCAAAATAATCTCCATCTTTCCATATGATGTTCCAATTTCAGTAGCAATGTTTGGAACAGTACGTCAGCCGACAACGTTCATTAACGTGTTTAAGTTGTCAAGGGGGATAAACACTTTAAACAGAACCCTCAAAAGGCAGCCACACCTTTATGCAACGTCTATGGAAGTTCTATTTTCCTTGATTTTTTACGCATTTGGAAAACCAGTAATCAAATGCATTTTCCCCCAGCCTTTGTCAATAATATACGCGTTTAAGATACAGTGATCCCGGGATTTTCACAAAACATATGACTTGGTCGAAATTTGACGTTGTCTAACAACCTAGAGATGAACAATAAATTATCAATTAATAAACTAAATATCCAGCAAAATTGGTAAAACTCTCAGAAAAGGTTTATAAAAGATCAAGCAATCGTAATAATGACATAATTTTCGTTGTCTATAACACATAGGGCGGTTTTCTTCTCATTTCAAGTATAAAGAATTAAACTGATAAAAATGCGTTGATGTCTCCCCCGCATTGCCAAACATCCGTTTCTATGGCAACTGTCATAGAGTTACTATCACAAATATTTAAAATATTTTTTATTTAAAATATTCAACAAGTGTCTATATTTTCATTTGTAATTTTCAAGCAATTTCACTTGTAAATAGATAAAATATGAAGAAATTCCATGAACGTTTGGATCAACCCTCGTAGTTGTCGAATCTCTAATCCATTTGTGGACTCGATGTAATTATATTGTTCTATTAATAAAATGTTTCTATTTTACTTTTCAATCGTCAACTTCCCTTATTTATGCAGCAATTCAATACATCTTCATCCTCTGCACCTGGATTAACATCTTTCAGTTGATTCGATGCACAAGAAAATACTCTACATATGGACAATTTCTAAAATAAGTTCAGTTATTGACAAACAAGTTGATGAACAAGAAAATTAGCAGTTTTGTTTCAAGTCACATTTTCGTAAGTTCCAAGGTCGATACAACGACCATTTCATCAAATACAAATTATCATTAAGTAAAATGCTGACTGACGATTTTCATACTAATTGTTAGGCCATTAGTTATACACTGAATTGCCGATGGATTTTCCGTTATTCGACATGTGTGACCAAACGACAGGGGATACTCACTCCTCCATGACACCTAATTCCATCCCTAGTGTTTTGGAGGTCCGCGTTTGCTCTGCTCCAATTTTGTATTGTTTAATTGAGTTTTGAGCTTGAATACTTCTCTTTATCTCCATATATTTCTATTTTATACTGAATAACATGCAGTGCAGGATAACAATGGATTAGGAGGAAATGTTGTTAGATATCATTCAGTAAATAAATCAGATATGTATGAGACATATATGATGTACTATACAAGTATTTATGTGAGGTGTTTCATTGTGGCCTCCCTATAAAAGTGTGAAAAAAAAATAATGATGTAATAATAATTTAGAACTGCAAATTAAAATAAAAGAAATTAGTTAATAAATCATCTTTAAAAATCCGCTCAGTTCATATCTAAAACCTATGAGGCATACAATTAAAAACTGTTAAAGAATTCAAATTTTATAATTAACTCTTCAAATTAATATAAAAAAATAAATGTTTTATAATTCAATTCTCATGCACGTGGTCTTGCAAATTGTTGCCAATGTTATATTTAACATCTCACAAAGCTAATTAAAAAGTAGAGATTTTTTATTGAAATAGTTGAATGAAATATTTGTCTGTACGTTTGTCATTGATTGATTCTGTTTGATTTATTAACTGTCTGCAATAACTTAAAAATATTTGAAGGATTGTCCTATCGTAAGGCGCTTTAAATCGTCTAAAATCGTACTAGCTGACCTTTTTGTATATGAGTACAGTTACATTTCAAATATGGTTTACAATTACATGATAATTTAAATAAACCCTGATTCTAGATCTAAAAGCACATTTCATTATGATAGTATTCCAATTTGAAGTTAAAGTAGACTTGTAAAAGGAAGACATTCGGGATTTTTAAAAATATTTTGTTAGTCGTTTTAAAAATAAGTTGTATATATATTTAAAACTAAGAAAACAAATAATTTCATTTCTGCAGGCTTTGTAGATTTAAAATAAAAATTGACTTTCATCAATAATAATACAGCTGTACAAGATTTTATTCAATAATGCTTTGACATGTCAAATTTTAATGACATTTGTAAGATTACGACAATATATATCTTTTTCTTGTTATTATTTCAAATTAGAAATATGTTCCAAGTAACTAACAACAGGTCCTTCGTTAAAGATCAATAACAAAATGTATTCACATCTAACCATCAATTACATACTTTATCCTATTCTATATTCTCTCTTGTCTTAAACGAAAACGTTGCTCAAACGTTCTCATAAAATATAAAATAAGGATTGTTGTAGTACGTCATGGGGCAGAATTTTTAAGATCAAATTAATATAAACAAATATCTGATCAATTAAACATTCTTTTAGTGATGAAAACGGGGTTCAAACAGTGGAAAACGCCTGACTTGATATATAATACATTAATATTAAGAAATTTGTTTGACATTAGCTCCTAACTAATCATTAAGAAACGAGAAGCTTTTGAGTGCAAGTGGCATGTGCTTGATTCAACAAGTATTGTGTCAAATTTCTATTCGGAAAAAATGATCTTATTATGCAATATTAATGACATTCACATCAAATGCTCTTAGATACAAGATCTATAAGTGAATTTACAATTGCTACGAATCCTATGTCATTAAGTGCAGAACTTGAAAAGGAAAGTTTGTATAATTTCAAAGTAGGGAAATTGGATGATACATGTATAAAGCATAGGTACAGTGATTTAAGCTAGAGTAAAATAATTTTTTTATTTGTTGAAATTATTGTTGAAGATTAACACATATAAAACAAAACTATAATAACATGACTCTATAAGTGTATGAATGGATATACAACGTCCGTTTTGTATATGCTCTTGACATTATGTATGATAAATAATAATTTATAAATGCAGATAAGTTTTGACCTTGCCCCTAGAGTACTTATTTCTTTTGATGACGCTCAATTCGTCCTAGATTTAATGAGAGCTTAGGTCATTAGCAAGTTGTAAACATCCTTGAAGATATTTTGTAATTTTCATTTCATCACATTCTGTTCGTTTCATCTTTCACAATATTTAATTAACAACAAAGTAAAAGTTGAATTAATTGAGTACAACTTAGTGTTTTGCTTACATCGTTAGTAAAGGATTCATACAATTACTTCGTAACTATGTGATACGATTCATGAAGCAGATATAATTAATAACATAGATAACACGAAGAGAGTTTCAAATGTAGGCCATACTTTAAATAGTGAAAGACAGATTATAATTAGTGTACTAACAATAGTCAGAATGACTTACATAGATCTATTTCCTACACAGTCACTATCTTTTTCATGATTGATTGGCAAAGCTAGCACGAACTAAGGTTAATTGAATGTTTCAAGAAATTGTTCATGCTATGAAACACAAGTTCTATATTTGGAAAGAGGTTTAAACATGGTTAACAAGAACATAAAATGGTCATTGTTCGTTATAAATAACTTTTGCATTTTGCAATCAGCATTTATTCTATTTACAAGAGAACACTACAAGCACAAGAAAAAATAAATTAAGAACATTTCACCCACATTTTTTCAATTAAGATATGACATTTTGTAAAGTTTGTATATCTTAAATTTTCATATACAACAATGTTCATATATGCTCTGATACGGGTGCAAGGAATGCATAAATTTTATACCTAGGCTAGCTTGCACCTTTCCTTATGAAAAGCAAATGATTAAAATGTTCTAATATTATCACCTTTAATGCATCTTTCTTTCAGACTTTCAGAATAATGCTGATTTTGCAACAGGGATGAAATAAACCAAGTTTTTGATAACGAATTAAGGCATTGTTCTAAAAGACTCGCCAAACACGGGCCAAAGAGGGACATTTTGCTAACTTGTCCTTTCTATTGCTTAGGGTAACTAATTCGGCATACAAAATTTGGAAATCTGTCAAACCTCCAATAGAATCTTTTCTGATAAGATTAACAAATAAATTGTGGATAATTTGTTTGTGTTCTGTGATCGGAGAAGCAAAAGAACCAATAAATTACCCAACCCCCAAATGTACCAACAAATTTCATAAATTTTCAGTTATACAAAAAGGGAGAGCAACGTTCTTATTCATAAAAGAAAAAGTAACAAATCTGGAAAATAAATGTAAAAATTAAGGGCATAGTATGTCATGTGATGTATAGAAAGGTGTGGAAATAAATTAAAGGAGTTTAAATTTTGCTTAGATTGCCCTGCTATATTTAATCTCAGTTTCTCTTCAGAGAAACTGATTATGATGGTTTCTGTCAGCATTAATAATGCCTCGAATCTTGTTGTATTTTCTTAATTTTCAACACACAATGTTGACAGGTTAATATAATAAGGCAGTGAAACTGATGACAAGCAATATACCTACCTGAAATCTCATCTTTTACGAGATTGTAAACATCACCGTCCGTTCCCATAACATCAAAACATACAGAGGAATCCAGCCCTTTGACTCGTACAATAAAATGGGGGTCGCTATCAACTGTAAAAAGAATTTGTTAGTTTTTTTACCTTTAAAAAAGTTAAAAGTAATATGAAATATAGTGTACTTTGGTATAAGAAAACCAATCCCTGACAGAAAGAGTTAGCAATGAATGAACACTAAGATGACATTATTAATTAAGAACCCTCTCTACACTGCACACCAAAGAGCTCTGATTCTATGGTATTTTTCTGCAGCTAGAGTGATCTGCCCTTAGATCTTAATTCCAATAAATAGAAATTTACAGTAAACTACTTAATCTGAAATCAATTAAAGTATTCTTTATATTTTAGAAGTCCAAGATAAGTATATTGAACACATTATTTACATGTATTTTCTCAATGAGACAATGTCATTTATATGTATTTTCTGAGGAAAAAGAACACTCATTTTTTCGCAAAGGATCTATTTATATAGTTTTGGAGAAAAAAGAAAAAAGATGTAACACATGAATTGTAGCACTGTTTGCGAAAGTATGGTAATAATGATGTATTGTTTATTTTTTTGTGCCAAAAATCTTTTTTAAACTAGAGTAAATTGTTTTGAATTGTTTAAAAAAAAATAAGTTCAGGTCCCACAATTACATTACTCAATTCTATAATGTTAAAAATATGCATTTTTTTTGAAATCACATGTGTTCATTTTTACAATAACATTTAAGGAATGTGCCAAAAATCTTTTTTAAACTTAAAAGATTATAAATGTAAACAATTTTAAAATATACTACAATGATACACAGCATAGTTTAGGTCCCACAATTTGTTACTTTATAGACAAAAGCAACCTTCAATTAATACCTATGTAGTATACATTTATTTTACTGAAAACTAATTCAAAGATGGACAAGCAGAGCATGAACTGCAAACATCACATAATGATACACAGCTTTTCTAAATATATGGAAAACAGCATGTATGTATACTACAAAAGGATGTTGTTGAACATTAAATTTTTGTCTATAATCTATAGACATATAAAAATATGATAACTTCTCTTAAGATAAATATTACTATTACATGATTAGCACTTTAAAAAAAATCCGACATATCTGTTCATTGTTTTTTTTTTTTACATTACCAAAGGAAGGCGAATTTCCAGCAAGAGCTAAACCTTTGCTTCCGGTTAAGGCGCTGCCCCACACTGAATGAGGACTATCGTTCAGACCGTAGTCCGCTGAAACAAATAGAACCAAATACATTAAGGCCATTTTCACACTTATATACATCAAATTAGAATCGTAATTCGAAAAAGAAATAACATAAAACAAGACAATTATCAATTGGAACAAAGGAAAAAAATATGCTAAAATAAACATAAACTATACAATAGCTAATCATTCAGCTCAACTATTACTAATATTGAATTAAAAAAAAGAAGAAGATAAAGTCTTAAGACTTAAAAGACCAAAATATGCCGAAACTAGGCAAAGTTACCAGTTAGACAAACATGCATCAATTAAAGTATTCTTTATATTTTAATCGCTATTTACATTATTTTCTCAATGAGAGTGATTTGATCCTGTGTTGTGTTTGATTGTTTAAAAAACAATGTCATTTATATGTATCTATACTGAGCTTTATTATATCATTATGGCGATAAGTTTTTATTTTTAATTTGATTTACGATTTTATAAATGTCGGGATCAAGTAAATGCATTAATATTATCTTCTTTTCTTAATGTATTATCCATAATTAAATTCATTTAAACGCTTTTGTCCCCTACTTCAAGCCCGTGATAATGCTTTCAAATGGTATTCAAAGACATTCCATATTTTCTTTTTCAAAGAAAAAGCTTAGAAAATAAATCTCACTTTATCTGATATGAAGAAATAAGCATTTTCCCGTTGTTCAGCTATACCATTTTAACCAAATTATTCTTTAGGAAACTCATATTTTAAATTTGAGATCTTAACACTGATGATATTAATTCCTACAATCATTTGATTTTTTTTTCTGGACTTGGGTTTATATATATCATACATTGTATCTAGGTTGCTGAAAAATAAACGAATTTAAAATTTTCAGGAAATATTATAACATATATTGCCAAAACATATAATACTTCTCTTCAAATTAAGGAACAGATAAATTATAAATGTGTGTCTTTCCAGCTTACAAATACTTTTGATTATGTAAGGAACGAGTTTCTTAGTTCAGAAAATGTGAAAACCAGAGTAATTAGTTAAATAAATACCAGGCTGTCTCTTCAAAGACAAAACTTGCTTAAAAAGATATATTATGACAGTTCATAAATCAGGCACCATTTTTCTTTCTTACCGTTTGGTTGTATCACATTTTCGTCCTGTGGTCTCGTCACTACCATAGACGTCAGGGGTGTTACAAAATTATACTACAACAGTGAAAAATAATAAATGAACTATTTGAGAAGACGTTTTTTCTGGATGTCGTAAATTATTGTTTTATGTTGTCGTAAATCAATATTCTTATGCTTTTTTCAGTCAAGGTTAAAGATTTTTCTTGAATTGTTTGTTAGTTTTAACCACGATGTTAACCCCTTACACAGATTTAACTTTTCTACAAATGGGTTCAATGTTCGTTATAAATGTGGTTTAATATATGACACATAGTTTTATATCCGAATAAGATCTATTTCTGTATTAATTGAACTTTATATTTCTTTCAAAAATCAATCTCATTTTGTTGAAAATGTAAAAATAAAAATTCTTCAAAAACAAATTATTAATTATTTATCATTAAATTATTTATCAAACGAAATATTTTTCATTGTTTACAAAATAAGGATGTGAAAAAATACTGTATCAATCTCAATTTTTCCCGAGTTGCCACGCAGAAAACACACTAAAGACAGTTAATAAGCGAAAAAGTTTTATCATTTATCTTTTTAAATTATGATTTCTGAACGGGCATAAAGAATAGCAGATATATCAACAAAAAGCGATTACACTACATGTATATGCTGCTTTATCAAAAAAAAAAATAAATAAATAAATAAATAAACGTATTTAAGGACGATGACAAAAGGAAAGGTCAATGCCGTTAATTTCTAAATATAAATCGTGGTTCAAACTCTATTTTTAATATACCATATTCATAAAACATCTGTGCAGAGTTCTCTATATATCTGCTATAAAATATCTTATTTTTGACACTAATTAATATAATTACCTTCAAGGCAAGCTCCAGAGCCCTTCTTTTTAACTCAATCCTTGCCGTATTATTCCGTTCACGAAGCCTATTAATTAGAAGCTGTTTGATTGTCATATATGCCCATATTTTTTCAGTAATATCCGAAAAGTTGGAGGCCACTAATTCAGTTGGAGCATCTTGAATTAAATCAAAAATATTGTTCCCAGTTGCAGTTCGCCACTCTAAAGGTCCTTTAGAACTCGTGCCACAGATTTCTAAATTCATAGCTGAAATATTCAGTTCTGATATTTTCCCTGCAATGATGATTTCAGATCCCTCGAAGAAGCTAGGATAAATTGTATTTGTGACAGATTTTCCAACAATGGTTTCATCCAAGTATCTGAAGGTCAAGTTTGACAATAAAGTGGATGCAATTTCACCATAAAAACCTGTAAGCTGCAGAGAAGCATCGGATGCTTCGTAAATTTTACGAACAAATCCATTATTTTGAGCTGACATCTTTTTCAGAAATCCATAGTCGGCGTCTTTGCCAAAGGAAAGACTGAAAATCGGAATGTTTTTCTTATTTATTTTGCTTAAACTGTCCAGTATTTTAGAATGGTCAGTCTCTCCTTCTGTGGCAGCACCATCTGTGAGGAAGATTATTAAGGAAGAGAAACCATCGTCATCATCCTCTTGGATCAGTGTCAGACCTTCTGATACAGCACCATGAATGTCCGTCCCTGTACAATATATGCAAATAAGACAATGTACCGCAGGATAAATCCTGGCATTCAGATAACTGAAATGTGACTGAACGATTACTGAAAAGGGGCCTAATGGCATACTTTTGTCATTCAGGTCTCTTTTCAGACCTTTTTTTGAGAATTCATTTGATAAAAAGTTTAATTTTTTCATGTATGGGTAAAGAAGAGAACACAAAGAAAAGAGAATCAACATTGTAAAAAAAAAAGCAGAAATCAGAGAAAAGAGAATCGATTTTGTAGAAAGAAAACAGATTTAAAAATTTGGAAAAATTATTCAATTCGTTGTGGTACATGTATATTATTTTCTTATTTAGAATAGAGGTAATTTTCCTCATTTTTTTTTCATTTGCAGAGAGCCAATACTTTACGTGTTAGAAGTCATTTCTAAGGACATTGATTCATCTTCATGCTAGAATCCGTTATCAATTGATGTTATCGATTATATTCTGATATTTCTAAGTGATAAAGCAAAGAGTTTTGCAAAGAGTATTGCCCTATAGGTTTGTGCAACTTCCATGGCTCATTCATCAAATGGTTTTTTTTGGTTGTTACAGTAAGAAAAAAATATGAAGACAAAGAATAAGAAGACTATTCAAGACAGGTTGTGAACTCCAAGGTTAGCAACATATATATTACGAAAGTAAAGATTTGAATTATCTATGGGAGTAAAACTTGTACGGCCATTAACACCATTATCATCATTCATATAAAAAAAAACCAGACAATAGCCTTAATACCTTGTCTGCGCAGTTTATATCAAAGAATACATATTATTTATTCAACCATAAACTTTAGGGGAAAGGACAAAATGCCACCACATGGCAATATAAATAGTTTTTTTTTCATAAGCAAGAGAAAACTTACATCCGTCTGCTTCTATGTCATTTATGAAGTTTCTGGCGGCGCTCACAGTAAACTGATTAACCTCAACTAATGCTGAGCGGTCCCACCATTTTGTCACGTTACCAGCGAACTGAATGATGTTGAATTTGTCACCATCGTCGAGGTTTGAGAGAATTTCGGACATTGCAACCTTAACTTGATTAATTTTCGTTCCTATCATGGAGCCGCTGGAGTCCAGAATAAACAGAACTTTCCTCCTCATACGTGGTATTCCTTGTGGTGCAAAATAGTGGACAAAATATCCATTGACCACCTAAAATAAATATACAGCATAAGGAAAAGATCTCTCTCTCTCTCTCTCTCTCTCTCTCTCTCTCTCTCTCTCTCTCTCTCTCTCTCTCTCTCTCTCTATATATATATATATATATATATATATATATATATATATATATATATATATATATATATATATATATATATATATATATATATATATATATATATATATATATATATATATGAGAAGACAAAAGACTATTCAAAATGTTTTTTAGCAAATCACTACCTATAAACAATGTTCTTCAAAAATTAAAAGCAATTCTGTAATTTTTAATGAAATTCACACTTTTATGCCTTTGTTTTACAGTGTGCTTTCTCAATCAAGAGGTTTTGCAACATGTTACATAGTTTACGTATTTGTGCAGCTGACGTTTGATTACTCTGTTTAATTTACATAGCTAATCCTTTGATAAACAATTAAAGATAACTGGTTAATATCTTAATCTGAATATGTATCATAAGTCAGGCTAACTCACTTCGATACAACCTTAATATTTGCAATAAAAAGTTCTTGTGTGATTTCTTTCCCATCAAAATTAACCAAATAGCATAAACTTTCATAATATTCAATTTTGCTGACTTTTATCTGGAAATTATTTCGCTTACAAACTCTGAAAAGGTAAGAAGCCTGCAAAGTAAACTTAGATACCAGTGAATGTAAATTTTTTATAGAGAAATGAAGCTAAAGAATGAAACCTTTCCCGGGACCCCTACCAGAATTTCGCCAACGTTTGTTGTCCTTTCAACATCGTATTCAACAACAAATAATCCCGCCATTCCCTGCATCGAGGCTCGCTTTTGATCTTCCGGTGAAGGATTGTAACGAATGTATGCAGAAGTCAGTGAAGGTCTCCGAATAGACGCATAGATATTCTGAACTAAAACATGAAAAAAAATGTAAAAATAGGTTGTTTGGTAGGTATTTAGGGCATATCATATAAAAAAACTATATATATCATGTTAACCCTTTGATACGGTAAGCATTATTGGGCAAACTACATAAAGTAAGATGCCTAAAGAATACAAATAAAATCGAATTGTTAGGTCTCAACTTCGAAGCAAATGGGATTTATTGCAATCATTGTTTTATGATTCAGTACGTTCCGCAAAAGAGGCATCTATTGGAAATTAGGATGAATTATAACATGTATAAATTTAATGTATATGGACTAATTTTAATCTAATTGAAAAGTAAAGATATCGAACATAGATGATCAGTCTAATAATTTCTCTAAATACTGTATACAGTGTTATTTTTGCCCATTGATATTTTCGTCCTTACATACTTTCAAACAATTTTACACCGTTTTAAATTCGCCCAGTCATAGTTTTGTTTAAGAAATTATACTGTATTCTTTGAATTCGCCCCGCTTTAAATTCGCCCAAATGAGGGTAGGGCGAAAGGGGTGAAAATAAAACGGAGGTGAACATTTCCCTGCATACAGTAATACGATTCTTGCACAGGTCAAAACACGGGCTGCTGGAAACATAAGAAAGCTGGGTCATTTGCCTATTGGGAGAAAAGATCCCCTATAGATTGATAATATCCCGCATATTGAACAGATCTATTTGAAGCAAAATTTAAAACAGCTTAACACAATCTTAGAACATTATCAGTAGGTGTATAAAAACAAGTCAGTCAACAATCTACCGTTAAATGGCTTGTATTTGGAAACAAAACCCAAAACCTACTATAAAGGAGGCTGGGTGGTCAACAAATTAACCACCAGATTTAACTTATTTTTTAGATACGAAACTGTCAACTATCATTTGGCAAAGAAAAAATTCAAAAATTTTAGTTTTCAAATTTGATCATTTTTCTATTTCTTCATACGGAGCTCTTCTTCTAAAGGAGATCGAAATAGTCTGAAAATGGCTGCCACCCCCAGCCTCTTTAAGTATCCACAATATACAATACATGAAGGTTTCAGTTGATATTGATGTGTGTGTGTGTGCTGCTATAGTTTGTTTATACCTTGATTCATATTTTGTAAGATAAAACTTCAATACGACATTTATATTAATCAGGTTTTGCATATCCTTTGAATAACATGACCTTTGATGGTGATCAAAAGGCAAGAAACTATTTACAAAAACTTCAAAGTACCTTATGTATCTAAGTAAAAAAAATTATAATTAACACAGTGTTGAAACATTAATTTGCAGAAAATCATTTTCTGAGGTCACATTATGCAAATGTAAATGGCGTTACCATTTGCTTCTTCTAAAATGATGGAGTTGGCATCTCCAGAATGTTAATGATTATTAACAATGCTTATTTTTTTCTGAATCTGCCTGTACACAGTGGAAAATTTCCCTCACACAGATCTTTCAGTATGATAGATTCGTCCAGTATCTGGAATATCACATCTTTCTTTTGAATAAAGGTTTGCTTACATGTAGCCGTATTTGTACATTGTAAAAGGCATTGCAGGATCATTACTTCACAGAATTATAATTATTATCATTTTAAAACCTAACAGTTGAATGTCGTGCATTGTTTATTGTAGATTACTAAACATTAATATCACAAACAATGAAAAAGGCTAAAATATTCACAACTTGGAAAACTTATCTAAAAGCAAACTCTCGTCGTGGATCTTAAAATCGAGCAGTTTTTATTTATTTATTTGTTGTTTAACGTCCATCCCGAGAATTTTTCACTGATATGGAGACCCCATCATATACCAGTCGAGAGCTGCAAATTTTGTCCTATACTTGGCACTCTGGGCCATTGAACAGGAAGTGCCAAAGCATACGGCGACACGGGACCTCGGTTCATGCGTTCTCGTCCAAAGTACCGGTCTCCACGTCCCACCGTGGGATTTGAACCCGTGACGTCGAAGAAATTGAAGTCATGTTTAGAGAACTTTAATCAAAGTGGCTGGGTGGTTGTGGCCAATTTTAGACTATTTTGATCCCCTTTAGAAGAAGAGCTCCGTATAAAGATATAATAAAATGATCAAATTTTAAAACTTAAAATTTATGAAATTTTTTTTTTGCCAAATGATAGTTGACAGCTTAAGATATCATATCCCAAATTTTAAATGATATCTGATGGTTAATAAAACAATAACTTGTTCACACCCAAGCCTCCTTAATGTTTCCATTTCATTTTATTCCCGCGTTATACTTTTATTTTATAGTATTTTTTCCTGTGCTAACAAATGTGGATTCATTCTACGATATAAGGACATTTATCATTAAAAAGGTAGGAAAATGTGTTTCTAATACATTCTTGCTGAGAAACCAAAGTGATGAATGAGTTTAATAGTACGAAGGGGGAATAAGACATTTATTTATCACTTAATTACATGTACTTCTAAAAACAAAATGTATATAATTAAAACATTCATTTTGACCTTAAGTATTTAAGATAAACAAATGTGAAAAACAAAATTAAACCAAAATGCAAATTTTCATAGCGAAATGCATTTTATAAAGCAAATGAAATCTTACTGAAAAATAAGTTTAAAATGTAAGCATTCAGTTAAAATATGAAACAAAAGACATTCAAGTTCCTTGAAATATTGTAATGAAAATGCACAATTTTATTTTATTTGAGTATCTAATTAATGGTTTTGTCATCAGTAGATACACTGTATACATAAACTCATTTTAAGACACATGTTCCATTTCCAGTACAAAAAGGGGAAGATTTCTCTCTACTGTGTCCTTTTTAACTAAAGAGAAATTGGATTTACTCTTTAATTGATCATCAAACATAATCGATTAATCAGTTTGTTTATTTGCAATCCATGAGGATTCTGGATTCTGTGAAACAAATTAGAAAATATTGAATACGTTTTTAAAAGAATAATTGTAAAACTTTCATACAATTTTCCTCCGTACCAAGCACTTTGTTATTTCTGATCTGTACAGAAAAAAGAAAAGATAGTATCAATAAAAATATATGTTTTTGTCCCTTCTGGTGAAGGCTTTCATTTGATAATACGTATTTTTATCTAAACATTAAATCTTTTTACTCTCTTTGTATACATTTGAAACACACACGTTTTAAAATTCACTATTTAAATTAAAGGTGAAAAACAAACCTGCCTTATATTTCAAAATTCTCGAGCTCCTTGCACTTCTTTAATTTTACTTTCTTCAAAGTTTTGAAAGTTATTTCAAATTATTATTCAATGATGCAAAATATTATTAAGCGTATTAAATTGAACAATAAATTATTCATATGGACAAAAATGTGTGTCGAGAAAAGAAAGAAAAAAAAAATCAGAAAATGAGGTCAGTGTAATTCCCATACATTATGTTTGTTTTATTATCAAAAAATTTTAAAGACCTATCATAAATAACAATGTGAGGACATTTAATTAGCAAATCAAGAAATTTATCACTCCGTACCGTACACACGGTGTGATTTATTCACCTACAAATTTACATGGCAATAGAGGTTAGTTAGTCAGTGCTGTAAATGAGAAAAGACAAGGCTACTAATGTAACAGAGCTAACCAGTGAATTTAAATTGTCCAAATATCGCATCTAATTATAACTCAACTTTAACTAAAAATTGCCCCTATCTGAGATGTTTTGTAACGTGATGGTAATATTTAACTATTGTTACATAATTGCTGCTAAGGTTTTGGATTATTCTTAATTTATTTTAATTATAATTTTGCTATTTTGACGTTGGTTCGTTATAAGATCTTGACAGAGGGCGAGGTTTATATAGTACTATTCATCACGTGGTGCAGTGGATAAAACACGGGCGTTTGCTCTCGAATTGTGGAGAAAAAAGTTGATACTTAATGACTTGGAGGGTTAGAGTTCCAGTGCAAGACGTGGAGGTAGATCCTTCGGATGAGACATAATAAACCGGGGTTTCCTGTCGTAGTGAGTGCTGGCATTATCCTAAGTGCCCAGTAAACATATAGGTCTGAGGTTTAAGCTCTTCATTGGCCATTAAGTGATGGTGTCTCAATATAATAAGTGAAAAATTCTAAAGAGGGACATTATACAACAAACCAACCAATTTTTCCATGTCAAAGACAACGATGCTTTGTATGTCGATTAACGTCCCTCTCGATAATTTCATACTCATATGAAGGGATCTTTTTCACGCCAGCACCTACTGCGACACGGGAACTCGGTCTCATCGGAAGGACCGGTCTCCACGTCCACTATGTGATTCGAACCCGCGACTTAAGCATCAACTCCTTACTCTCAGACTCTAGAGCAGACGCTCTACCCACTGCGCTACGTGAGAGACTAAAGAATGAAATAGATGCAATCACAAGCTAAGATAAGATTGTTATAAGGTGACTTGAAATTTGTTTGTTAAGTCAAAATGTAGGATGTTTATATCTGGGTTTTGCTGAAATCAAATAAAAACTGCCTAGATACTAGTATTGAAAATACAGTTTAATGATGCTTTCAATATTCTATAACTTACTGGAAGAAAAGGAAAAAGACCGAACATATTAATGAAATAAATTCCTAGTCCAATTTTTTCTTATATTTTTTTTTTAATGTTTAATGTTTTAAAAACTTTGAGATGCTTTCCATTTGAGATGGGGGTGGGGTGGAGGGGGGTTCATACAGTCTCTTTGTTGAAGTTGGAGATACATGTTTATTTGTTTTTAACAATATGTCAAATAAAGTGATTGGACAAATATTCCAAAAAATTAAATAGATCTCTCCCATAATTGTTTCATACCATTTGAGTCTCCATTGTATGTGACAATGTAAGCCTTAGTTGTGAAATCTGTCAAAAACAACGTGACGCTCCTAGACACCTTCTATCAATTGCCTTATTTCTTCTAACATCGCACTAAATCTACTCACTTCTATTATGGTGTTCGGTGAGAATGTCATTCCTTAGCGGGGAAACGTGCAGCTGTGTTATGGAACGTGACTCTTGTATCGTGACCTCCACCAACAGGCTGTCCACTATCTGACCAGGGTTAACATATATTGTATGGTCGTAGATTCCACGTCGTCTCTGTAACAACTCGTTGTAGGTTAGTATGAATGTAACTTCACTAAAGGCTGCGATATTTATGGAAATCTTAAACATGTTAGAGTCCCTGGGTCTGAAAAATCGTTTAGGATAACATTAAAGTGCAGTACCAAATCCAATGAAAGAAAATCATAAAAGAAGTAATTTGAAAAACAAAATGAATAGAAAAATACATAAACAGAGCAAAATCTTTATATTTCAAATTATGAAATTTTATTTTCAATATGAAATTAAGAAGGAAAAATACATGAAAGAATTGTTACTTACAAAAACAATGTATATATTTTAGTAGGAATTTGTACCTCGTTTGTATGTGACCAGCTGAATGACCTTTCCATCTTGCATTATCATAAGTATTTCTTGCAATATCCTTTTCTTTAATTTCTCCTGGATAAATGTTTCCATCAATTTCTCTACAAAAACGTTTCTTCTACAATATGTTTTCATTGATGTAAGAAGGTTGCATGAGTTCTTAATCTTTTATAGGGGGAAAACGGTATGATGGTATATTTCTTATATATTTTTCATTTTTTGAATTCTTCGAGCAAAATAAGGAGATAATACGTTAATATAAAAAAAGTCGGTATATGTAGATATATTACATTAAAATTCACAATTTTCAGCTTTTTTTATTATCTACTAATATGGAAATAAAAAATGATTTAGGGGAAAATTAAGGTATGATTAAAAACCAATTTATTGTACCTGATACTTGATACAGAAAAAAATAGATATCTGTGCTTATATTCTGAAGTGATTTGCTGGGAATAAAACAGGCTAACACCTCTTACAAATGCACACTTTATTATGAAATAGAAGTTATTTTTCTGAAAAAAAAACTAAAACTAAAAATATCTTATAATTTTATACAAACATAAATACTAGCAGTAAGAAACGACGATGATTGTTAATTATACATATATCTCCCACACATTGAAAGCAAGATGACGTCCTTGAAAACATTAACATGAGAATTTCACCTTTTTTTTACTTTCTCCATATTCAGCAGTTGATGCTCAATACTCCATGGCACCTGATCCTACCTTTGATATAAGATAGGTCCATGTTTGCTCTGCTCCTGATTTGTATACTTTGAATGGACTTTTGAACTTGAATACTCTTTGATATTGCCATTTTTCGTTAATAAAACTATATAATTTGTGATAACAAACAAACTTTCATATGAAATATTCTTACAGTGTAAAGTTAGAGATGAAAGCTGCCTCAGGAAGAGTGACGTCGAAGGTGGTTTCTTTAGCTCTGACGTCATCGTTAATTATAGTACTTGTCACACTAGTAGAGGAAAATCGGTACAGTATACTGGACTGTATATGTAAAGACACAATTTTTGTCGTCTGAAAAAAGAAATATAACAAATGGAGAAATAAGGACTATAAGTTGAAAATTCGAATTAAAAATGATGTATGCCCTAGTCCAGGTCTCTCTGTTGGAACGTTAAGAAGTATTATGCACTTGTACTAATTACAAGAGTAAAAGTTTTATTTATTAAAGATGCAGCTTAATGTTTGACCGGTCGGCAGGGGATAATCACTTTTCCATGGGGACTGACCCCACCTCTGGGATTTTAGAGGTATGTATTTGTTCCGCTCAAACTTTGTCTTGCTTAAAGGACTTTTGAGTTTGAATACTGTTGATTTTCGTCATAAACTTCGTATACAACTAAATGTTTTATCGTATGTTATGTAGTCTATTCTAAATACTATAGTAGTCTTTTAGATAACATTTCAGATGTTCTATGAGTGCTGCAAAAGACGAATGTGAAGAGATGTAAAAAAAAAAAAAAGCAACGAAAACCATGCTTTTAAGTTTTGGTTAAAGATAGACAATAATTATTCATATAAAAATCACAAACCACCATTTAATTGCAAATAAGAATCCTACACTAAGCTTTCTGAATGGTTTAAGCTATATATGATAATTTACGTATCTTAAATTGTATACTCTGCTCATGCTGTCAAGAACGATGAGATGGTGAAGAAGTTTGTAATATTCATATTTGTTATCTTAGCTCCAAATAATGAAAAAAGAGCTATAGTCTGAAATGTGCTTTTATTGTTTAAAGATCAAGGCACAACACTGTCTTGCATTGTCTAAATTAACAGTTTTCAAAAATTTAAAAAAAATCATTCTCACCATAGGCTTCTTATAATTATTAACATGAAAAACGACCAATGGTACAAAGTAATTAATCAAAATATATGTAAACAACGTTTTATAACGCCTGATTGCATGGTCCTCTTAGATAAAAAAGTGCGTAGAAGATCATTAATATTAAACCCCAAAAATTGAAAACATGAACTAAATGCATTGGTACATTGTTGTATTTTTCACGTTAAATTTTATGGTTCATTAGAAATTCTTTTGAAGGGTTATATCAATGAAATTCTAGGAGCGTATCTCTACCAACAAAGTGTGCGAAACCTCAAATCCAGAATATATTATTCTTCTGGAATCCCAGCGATGATGCTAATTACGAAAATTGAGGTCACGTGCATCGGCTTAATTAATTCAAATTTTATGAACATAAGGCATTTTGTGTATAAGTTTTTATGATCTTTTTTCAATTATAAATTTTAATTGATAACCTATGTCCTAGTTCAGTACGACAATGAAGAGTTCTGAACGATTTTTCTGACATATTCACAATCAGGCAATTATGCCAAAGTGCCAGATTTTAACGCACTGTTCCTTTCTTCTCTTTTCCAAATGAACCTGTTTCAATTAGTTAATAATCACAAAAAAGAAGAAATTTATTAAATTATTTCCTGTTTCGGAAGCCTAATATGAAATTCATTGGAAAAGAATGTACTTCAGAAACAATTTCTCGAGGATACATATAACTGGTGAAAGAAGTAAATAATCCTTCACTTTAAAAATACACTAGTCAAGACCTTAGTGAGACGTGTTAACAGCTAGCTAGATAAACTAAATTTTAAAAGCAGAGTAGCTTTAAAATGTTTAGAGGAACTAGCAGAAAGTATGCTTCAAGACAGTTTCTGTTTTCACATGTTAACAATATCAGTGGGAAGGAATTTTGATTAATAAAAGTAGAAATTTAGTTATCTCATTGTACTTTCATCATCATAATAAATATTTCTTGTATTCCTTGCAATTCGTTGTACTGTCAATAAATGCAACTAGAGGTACTGTGAGCGATGAGCTCACTAAATGATACCCCCCGCCTCCCATATGGTTATAACTGGTGAAAAAGTTGTTTTCCTTAAACGTTGTGTCATATGAAAAAGTAAAATAGTTTGCACATGGCAATATGTAATAAAGATTCTGTGAAAGTTTCATCAAATTTCATTCAGTGGTATGAGAGGAGTTGCGGAAAACACTTAGTTTAAAGAAAAATATTTTCTTTCAATTTAAACAATGTCGTATCATATAAAAATGAACATTTTGTGTTTATCTAGACAAGGTATCCGGTAATATTTTCCCTGGAAAAAATGCTTAAAGAAAATAAAGCAACGCGTATTTATGAATTGCAAACACCTTAGCTTATTTATATTAGGGAAAAGATGCAAATTACGGTTTCAGTTACTTTTAATTGTCTAATTTAATGCAAGGAATACTTTGTTCTATTTCAAACCGTGATTTAATTCTGTATCATTAGTATTATAGCTTTTGGAAAAATAAGAAATTTTCTTTTTCAAAGTTAATAAGCAGTTTTAAAAATCCCAGTCGTTAAAATGCCCTCATATGTCTCCTGTTGTGAATTTTCGTTTAATTTAATGCAAAGAACACTTTGTTCTATTTCAAACCGTGCTTTAATTCTGTATCATTCTTGTTATAGCTTTTGAAAAAATAAGTAATTTTCTTTTTCAAAGTTATTAGGCATGCAATTGCAAATATAACCTATCGTATGGCCTTGTTTTGATGGGGTTTTTCAAATTAGCTGTAAGGCTTTTATTTTTATATTTAATTAAACTACAGAATACTCCGTCCACCTAATGAATATAATTATGTAAAAAAGAAATAAGCATTCGTGAAATTAAATTTGAAATAATGTCAACAGTAACCCCGATAACTTTTTTCTGTTTATATCCCTTTTAAGTAGAAGTTAAAAAGACAGGAACAACTACTTTCTGAGAGACTGTAGGCATCTTTGACTTTTATTATACAACATTTTATTTCTACCAAACCCTCTTTAATTTGCATTAACAATGGCAGTTTGATAAATTATATTTTTTCTCTCTAATGAGTAAAATTTTGTGCAAAACACCTTAAATTGCCGAGTTAACATGGTGAAAGATCATTGAAAGAATTCGTTCGAAAATTTGAGAAATCTGTAAGCATCTTCCACTTACTTGATCCTGAGTTAACGAAAAGAGCCGTAAAAAGAAAATTAAAATTCTTTATGCCAAATAATCTTTTGAAATTACAGTCCTACAATGTATAATGTATATTTTGAAGGTATATACTGATTCATCAGAAAGACAAACAGTACTTTTCTATGAGAGAGAGAGAGAGAGAGAGAGAGAGAGAGAGAGAGGTCATTCATTTTGGCTCAGCTCTCCAATATGTTCCATTAGACAGACGCTTTAAAACACCAGAAAAAACAATTGAAGAGGTGGGTAGAACACGTTCAAGAGCTTTTCAATAGACCAACACCAGAAAAAAAAACAATTGAAGAGGTGGGTAGAACACTTTCGAGAGCTTTTCAATAGACCAACACCAGAAAAAAAAAACAATTGAAGAGGTGGGTAGAACACTTTCGAGAGCTTTCCAATAGACCAACACCAGAAAAAAACAATTGAAGAGGTGGGCAGAACACTTTTGAGAGCTTTTCAATAGACCAACACCAGAAAAAACAATTGAAGCGGTGGGCAGAACACTTTCGAGAGCTTTTCAATAGATCAACACCAGAAAAAACAATTGAAGAGGTGGTCAGAACACTTTCGAGAGCTTTTCAATAGACCAACACCAGAAAAAACAATTGAAGAGGTGGGTAGAACACTTTCGAGATCTTTTCAATAGACCAACACCAGAAAAAAACAATTGAAGAGGTGGGTAGATCACTTTCGAGAGCTTTTCAATAGAACAACACCAGAAAAAAAATTGAAGAGGTTGGTAGACCACTTTCGAGACCTTTGAAATAGACCAACACCAGAAAAAACAATTGAAGAGGTAGGTAGAACACTTTCGAGAGCTTTGAAATAGACCAATACCAGAAACACTTCTGGACATACAATCAGCCGATACAGACCTCCCGATCAACTGCGACAAGCCAAAAAGGACATTGATCAGGAGAGCAATTAACAAAGTTAAAATTAAAAAGCAACAGGGCTTGATGAGACCAACAGAAGCCATCAAAGTTGATACAGAGACAGCCGTTTACATCCTATTCAGCCTCTTCAAGAAAATGCATCCTTATTAATCTTCCTATTTATATGCTTTGATTAACGTGACTTTTCTGAAAATGGGAAATGCTTTGTTTAATATGTTTATATATATGAACATTTTTTTTCTTTCTTCAAAAATATTGTTTCAAGATATCTCATTTCTGAAAGGTGTGTTATGCTTAAAATTTTGACAAATATGAATATCGCATAGCTATAGAGAGCAAAGAAACAGAATCAATTTTGTTTAACATAAACTTCCCTCTGCAAAAAGTATTTTAGAGAAAAAAATACAACGCAAATTGTTCAGTATTTGATTGATGTTCTTAATCTTACAATGATTGAAAAATTACATTGAAATATAATATGATAGAATTGTCAAAACAGATGTTTGATATTATCGTGTTGATTAAATTAACCAGATGACAGGATCTATATTTTCACTTCCTTGTTCAAAAGTAGATAAAAATGTATCGATCTATTATTGTATTCTGTAATTCCATTTGATCAGACAAAAATTTTACACAGACCACAAGGAATAAAATTAGGCAAGACCAATGTATATATATATTTAATTTTTTTTATGCTTTTAATGTATAAAAGTGAACCTTTCTTTTACAATCTATTCATATGGTTAACCAAAGTTCACTGTGAACCTATGATTTTTATATCGTTGCATGAAATAAATTATTTCAGGTGTTTGATCATCATTTTATATAGATAAGTTCTCGTAAATGCCAACTTGAAACATCACCAAATTAAGTCGGTTAGCTGACATTGCTCACCGCGACATAATAAGATTTTTAATACTAAACGAGTGACACAAATGAGATATTCATGTCCTATTCCAGTTTGCTTTGGTGAAATAATGTTCACTTCAGTGGCATATTCACATAAATTAAAGTTGCTTTCGTTTTTTGAATAAAAATTACTCTACATAGCCTGATAAAGAATTAATCAAAATTCATGTCATCCCCATGTTCGTAAAACTG